AGAGCTGGTGTTGCATACAGCAGTGTTGGCATTCTCAGAGCACCACAGGCCTTGGGGTAACGTTCTGGTGGTTTTTGATGTTGAGCAAGTGGAAACATTTTTGTTTCACTGGGAACTTCATCATCACACAGCCAGTGGTGTCCGACCTCGCTGGAACACCAGAGTGGAGTAGGTAACCTCATTCTGGGGATGTGAAAGAAGCCACAGACATTAGAGAGTGTTCAAGCACTGCAGCTCAGCAGGGATTTCTCACTTCTAATCTCTTCTCAGCACCACAAGCAGTTTGTCCCTGCACATGGCAAAATCAGCAAATGCAATGCTGGATCAGCTCAGGGGCTAGCTCAGGAGCTCAGGTCAATGCTCCTTTAGGGACTTCCAAAGAGTTAATATCACATGTTGGCCATTTGAAGAGATTTTGCCCTAACCTGCCTAATTAGGAGTTTAATTAAGCCCCAGAACCCTTGAAATACATGGGGAGTACAGTATGGCATTTCAGCCCTGTGGTAGCAGAGAGCATCATCTCCTCTGTCATCTCTGATGCTCTGAGGAGCATCATTTTCCAGGCTGGAAAAGACCTCTAAGATCATCAGGTCCAACCTATGACCTAACAGGTTGGATTGGTTGTGTGATCTTTCCTGCTACTGCCCAAGTACCTCCCTGGAAAGTTACTCAGGCTGAAGCCTTGGATGTCCAAAGGAAGAACTTTTGCTGACTAACACTCAAGTCTTACAAATTACTTTCCTCCTTCCCACCCCAAATTAATACAACCACACTGTCAGGAACCTGAAATCTCTGCATAGAGTGTTAGAAACAAGAGTTGTAAGCCTTACCTGGTGGTTCCTCACAGATTCCTCAGTTGCTGTCTGGGGGCAAACTTCCTCTCGTAAATTTTGATGGGATTTCTTATGCTCTGGGAAGGAGAGTGATACCAGTCTCAGCTGTCAGCACTGGGCTTGGAGACAGCAAGGCAAGAGAGGCTCAAGAGTGGGTGACAGACAAATCTGGCACAGACCTGCACTGCAACAGGGCCAGTTTGGGCTACCAAGTCCTTGCCCACTTGTTGGAAGTGGCTAGGATGAAAAGGGACTGAGGAATTCAGCGTGGCCAGTGTTAGGATGAGAAAAACCCCCAACCAACAAAAACCTCCTCAATTCATCAGTGGCAGAGTTAACTCTTCTGTGGAAACAGCTCCCAGGATGATTCCTGAGGAGTTAGTGCCAGGAGTGACCTGTCATCAATGCATTACTCAAGGCAGACAGAATTTGAGCCTCTTTCAGAGTAATTTCTGTAGTTTCCATCACCCTGCTGTTACTCCTCTGACTGTGCCACTTACTTTTCCTGAGGAGGTAGATGATGGCAAACACCAGGACAGTCAGGAGGATGCCACAGATGAAGGCCAGAGACATGTAGAGTATTTCATGGCTGTTGACACACAGAAATCCCTGTCAGAATCCTCAGTTTTAACAGAGCTGTTGAAGCATCAGCAGTGCTCCAATTCACCAAACCTTAGGAGGTGTCACACATCATTCACCCCAAGAGGTTAAAAGTACCTGCATTAAGCATGACTAGGAATTACACATCTAGTGCACAGACTAGGAAACTCTAAGCAACATTTTCAAACCCCAAGGAGTAAAATGTATGACAGGTCACTCCTCCCTTGCAGGAGGAAACTGCAGCCTCAGGGAGCTCTGGGTTTGGAGTCAGGAAACAAAGGTGAAGCACTTACTCAATCCAACATTTGACTTCTGAAGCTTCCAAGTCAGTTGCAGGGGTGGGTGCAGTGGTGTATAGGGTGGTCTGGACAGTAGTGGAAATAGGCTCTGAAGTGAATTGGAATTAAAAAAAAATAACCAATCCAAACCTGGTTTTGAAATGTGTCCATTTCCCCAGTAATAGCCCAAGCAACAAGAAGCACACACAGAGACATGTGACTGTACAAAGCTGTCTGGTTTTACATCTAATATTTCTCTCTTGTGGGGCTGAAAGTGGAATCATCAGACAGAAAAATTTCATTGTTCCTATTATGACTGGCCCAGGGCAGCCCTTGGCAGCCAAGCAGTTCTTCCCCAAATGTTCACATCTGCTGAGCTGCCCCCATAGCAGCCCTGGGGTCAGCACCACAGCACTGTTAAGAACACTAACTGCAGCTAAAATAAGCTTGAAAAAATAAAATACCTTCTTTCTTTGTTGAAGAACCACTTCCCATTCTCTCCAGACACTAATGGGCAGGAAGAGAAGCTAAAAGGAGGGGGAAAAAAAAGGTGTATTTATATACATGTGTACACTCATGAGCAAAATTCACCCATCACCTGTTTCTAACTCACAGACTTTTAGTTTTTAGCCATTTTTCAGGCATCTGATAAACTGGCACAAAGCAGTTTTACCAACCAGCAATAACTCAGCATCAATCCTACTTCCCAGTGCCTGGTTCTTGCACACACACATGGTCATAGAATCACAGAATCAACCAGGTTGGAAAAGACCTCCAAGATCATCAAGTCCAACCCTACTGTGGTTACTGGACCATGGCACTAAGTGCCACATCCAGTCTCAGCTTGAAAACCTCCAGGGATGGGGAATCCACCACCTCCCTGGGCAGCACATTCCAATGCCTGAGCACTCTCTCCAGAAAAAATCTCTTCCCAATATCCAACCTAACCCTCCCCTGGCAGAGCTTGAGTCTGTGCCCTCTTGTCCTGCTGCTGGTTGCCTGGGAGAAGAGACCAACCCCCACCTGACTCCAACCTCCTGTCAGGGAGTTGCAGAGGGTGAGAAGGTCTCCCCAAAGTCACTGTGCTTTGATGAGCACATTGTCTTCTTCCACGTAAAAATGAGCATTTAATAACTAAAAAGCCCCCACAGGATCATTTTGCAACAGAAAAAAAAACCCAGTGCACTTCATGAGCATTTTCCTAATCAGAAGCAGCTCTGAAAAATTCCCTCTTTGTTTCCCTTTCTGAAGTTAAATTGACTTTTTTTTTCCCCACCAAAGCAGGAACAGGAACTTTCCTCTCAAATTTGAGAATCTCAAATCTACTGTAAAATCCCCACCCTGGTAGGTCTCCCCATGTGGGTTGCAAACTGCATGTTGTGAATAATGTGGAAACACCACCATGGACATCACCTCCCTGTTCCTCCTGCTCCTGCCACTTTTCCAGCTGCATCTCACATTCCAGAATCCAACTCCAAAGAGTTTCTCCCCACCAAACCTCACACTGTGTTGGGTTTGCAGTAAGGAAGAAGTGCTAGAGCTCCATCTTACCTCCCACCATGGAACTGCTAGTGGAAAACTCCTGGAACCTCAGCACAGCAAGTTGACCCACTTGGCTTTGTGAAAAGGATCTGTCTCACTAGTGAAAAGCTCAAGTGTCATTCAAACGTGAAGTTACACAAATGTGGAAGTTGAGCAACTTCGCATTTTTTTACTTACATTAAAAAAAAACAGGAAACTGAGAGACACCTGCACTTTCTGAAACTGCTGAGCTAAAGTAAGGCAGCTTTGACTTAGAGGTTCTTACCTCTAAAGAACCATTTTTCTGAGCTGATGCTGAAAAATGTGGAAAATTGTGGGTTTTCCTGAACTGCACTGAAAACAGCTCTGATTTATACACAAAGAGGTGTGTAGGAACACCCCAAATCTGCTCACTTGGGTTTATGTACTAAGTAAATCACTTCCCAGCACACAAAAGATCAAGTTACACAGGGAGGTGCTTTGCTCAGCTAAGACAGAACAAAATCCTTGAGGGAAAAGTTTCCTACAAAACCAAAATGGAAAGGCTTATGAGCATAATATACATAAAACTAGGAAAATCCAGGAAAAACTCACCCTATGGAATAAACTCACCCTGTTTAAACTTCACACTGGCAAGTGCAGCTCAAGCCAAGTGCTCAGTGGCTTTTGACACGTTTCCTGCCAGATAATTCTCTCTTCCCAGAACCAAAACACTTTCATCACCACACAAAGCTTTGTCATGAAAGGGTTTGGCAGCTCTTTTTGAGCCCAAGGACACTCAGCCAGAGCCATCCCAAGTCCAGGACCACGTGAGTGGGAGCAGAAATCACTGGGTTTAGAACATGGTTACAAGATGTGCTGGTTTGAGCTGAAGTAGAGTAAACTTTCTTCATAGAGGCTAGTATGAGGCTATGTTTGGGTTTTGTGCTGAACACAGGGTTGATAATGCAGAGATGTTTTTGTTATTGCTGAGCAGAGTTTACACAGAGCCAAGGCCTTTACTGCTTTCCGTACTGCCACATGGCAAGGAAGTTGGGGATGCATGGGAGACTGGGAGGAGACACAGCTGGGACAGGGGACCCAAACTGACCAAAGGGATATTCCACACCATATGACATCATGCTCAGTATATAAGGTGGGAGGAAGAAGGAGGAAGGGGGAAATTCTGGAGTGATGGTGTTTGTCTTCCCAAGGAACCGTTACGCGTGATGGGCCCTGCTCTCCTGGAGATG